TTACCAAATGAGGCAACTACAACCACGTATCATGATATACCTGCAAAGGGGTTCAATAAAGGTCCTTGGAACCAGAAAAACCAGGTGTTTATTGGTATCATAGATGACAACAGGTTTTTGAGGAATAAAAACCCACCAGATGATGAGGATTGGAAAATCAGTGGTTGTTGCGTGGAATGCTATCAGACGTGCCTGGAACATCGCGGATGAGAAGCAGGCTAGTATTCTTTCCAGGTTGAAGCGGATTCCATACTGGAGATGTCTTGCCGGCGAAATATTTCTTTTCCTTCTGCAGATGCCCGTGTTGCAGGCTGGAGGTATAGGAGACAAGAAGAGTTTTTATGCACACTAATTTTCAAGGAGGAGGATGGAAGTCTCTCTATAGAGGTTCGGGAGCTCGGGGGAGAAGAAATTATAAGTTCTGCATTCCTTTCCCCTTTCCTTTGTAATTGACATCCTTTCCTTTACCATTCAAGGTTTTCGAATTGGTTTTTTTTTTCATCTATCTATCTGTCTTTCTCTCACTACCCTTATCGTCCTTTACACAATTCAGGAAGTTATCATCGAAGCCATACCTTGTTGCATTATCTGGAGAAATGACCTTATGAGCAGGATAACCCGGTACATTTTTTTCCTTTTTTTCCTTCAAACCAGGAGCAGGCCTTTGAGACCGTCGGGGGGGGGGGGGGGGGGTTTCTAGTAAGATTTACTATTGCTTTCAGGTTGCTTTGCATTCATTTTCTTGAGATTTCCTGGAAAAACCGCCCCCAGTGGGATAAGTATTGGTTCCCAAGTTAGCATTTCATGAAACACCCAGCTGGCGCAGTGGTTAATATGTCAACACTAATTAACTCCTGTCGCACTTAGCGGGAGCCCAGGAGTTCGACTCATGCTCATAACGAGGTATTGTTAGACTATCCATCATGTAGGGCAGGTGAGTTCAAACTCCCTGACCTATGGGACCTGGGAGATCGGGGAGCCCTACCCGCAGCAATGCGGCTGTAGGGCTTTCCCAGTACTGTCGCGAGGTGGCAGAATCCGACTCTAGACCTACACCCAAGGGGCCCGGGTGAGGTCGGCGATCGGCGGTGCGGCAGACTTTTTTGCTTTGGAAAACCAGCTTGTGGTTTTAAAGAGGTAGGATTGTTTTTTTGCCATCATTTACTCTCGCGAACTACGCTCTTCTCATTTGCCGCCTTATCAATTATATGAAACGAGCCTTTGGAGAATATCTCGGTCCAAAACTCTGGCAATGTTTTTCCCTCCTGCAGAATTCTTCTCGTCATTCGCTGCCGGATATAGGTATTTTGTATGGGGGGTGCGTTTCCCTCACTCCCAGCTTCATGCTCGAGTACCGCACTTAACCCCCACCCAAACGACGTTTTTAGCATAGTGCTTCTTGGAAAGACCAGTGTTGGAAGCGGTGGTGGTGGTCCGAAGGAGGGACTTATCCCTGTTCGAGACGTCCATCTTTAATCTATGTTATGGCTTCGCGAAAGCTAATCCGGGCAGGTCAACCGCCTTGAAGAGATTCTCTCCCCTACCACCTCACCGGTTCCCGAGCTACCACGTCGCGGCTCTCCTTCCAAGCACCAGTTGCTTGATATTCTATCCAGATTGGCTTCGTATATGTATTTACCGGTCGGTCAGCTCCTTTCCAGGCCATTTTGGCATTTCGAGTATTCGCTAAACACGCTGGTGGGGGTGAAATTGGCAGACAGCGTCACCAAGCCCAATCCAGGACGTACCGCACTTTGTTCCTGGAGTGGTTGAGATTCTCCGAGGGTAGAAAAAAACTGTTTTCCCGGGGAGCGGCATGCATTCTACCTTCCGGGCGGGTGTCTGCTTGTGCCGGGAAGATGTAATGCTCATCGTAGGGTGTTCGTAGGGTATGTCGGATTTTCGATGGGGGGCATTATTTATCGCTTTATCCGCCCCGTTCATCGCGATCCCGTACGACCCGTTATCGTATTCCAGGCAGGGGTGACTGTCCAACTCTGGCTGTGGAGTGTGATATGGTAGTGCGGGGACCTTGGAGGGATGTCTCGTGGTCACGATGAACTTCACAATGGAATGGTATAGCAAACACCGCATATCGTGATATAATAATTTTTTCCTTTGCCGCTCGGATATCAAAAAGCTTCTCTGGCCACGTTTAGTAATGTGTCGTGTGGTCTGCGGTACTAGCTTGCGTATTGTTCGGGATTCGTTAGAGGAGATAGGACCTGGTGTGGAAAAACGGCTAACCGTAAGTACCGTGGATGAATTGCGAGGGGGGGGTTATCACATTCTCCTTCCACCGATTCCTCCTCTCTGCGCTCTTTTGTTGCCGGCACTTCGCCCGTGATACGGGTGCTGTGATAGTCAGCGCTGCAAGCAAGTATTGAACTGTTATTAGTAATCGCTTGTGCCACAATCAGCTGTCACCGCAAGAGGTCCAGAATTTCTTCCTGAGGATTAGGGAAATTAGTGAAACAGAAGCTGCTATTCAACCCTCGGCTGAGACGAATAAAAAGAAAGACACGCGCGACCTTACTGGGAGAGGCAACTCCAACGCCCTAGCGTGAGTTAATACGGTAGTATGAACCGCGAACCCTTTCCGCCAAGCCCCACGTGGACAGCCCTGCCAACAAAACAGTGGGTTAGGGTTTCCCAATGACACGTCGGCAAACGTCAATCACCACATTCCCTGATTTTTCCCCTGGTTATGACGTTTACGCCGTGATGGGGGAATACCGGTGAGCCAGCGCAGTCTACCCAGCGCAGCGCTCCCATCCTCCGGGCCGTCTCGCAAAAACCAAACCACTTATTTACCCAGCGACAAACAAAAACACTCCATCAAGAAAAATAAAAAAATGCTGGACGCTATCCTCACAATATCCGGCCTAACCATCCTCTACTCCACCGCATTAAACTCCTGGAGCACGAGCCTAAATCTTCTCTTCTTTTACATAACGTGGTCGACCCTTCTCCTAGCGCACTCACCGCTGCGCATAGAGCTGTTTGGAACGCTGATCTCGCGACTGATATTCTTCTGGCTGCCGACCTTATTCTTTTACCTCATCGACACTGGGCTTCCTAGCATCACCTCGGGATGGAAGACCCACCCCGGCACGAGCGCGCGATTTGATTGGCGTGCTGGGAAGGTGTTCACGGTAGCGATGGGGAACATGTTGCTCGGTGTGGGGATTCAGGGGGTTGTGGAGTGGACGCTCGTTGAGGTTGTGGGGTGGAAGAGCGCCGTCAGGGTCTCAAGCGGTATACCGCTCCCGGGCGGGATAGCGTGGGATTTGGTGAGGGGGTTGGCTTTGAGGGAGGTTTGTCACGCCCCTCGCGAACATGTGTGAGGGAACTGTGTTGATGGAGAATAGATTTTGCAATATTACCTGCACTGTTACGTCCTCCACTCTGCATCCGGCATGCACGTACGGTGGCAGCATGCGGGCCCAACTCCACCCCCTCTCTGGCCCGCAATGGCTCACTACGACCATCCACTGCCTTACCTTTTAAACCGCTTCGTACCGGTATACGCCCCTGCCGCGTTCTTTCGCTTCCACGCCCTGACATACTTTGCGTTTATAACACTCGTGTCGCTGGAGGAGGCGTTCACTCACAGTGGGTATGAGAAGCTATTCTTTTCCGGGCTGTTGAGTGGTGCGGCGAAGAGAACTGCGGAGCATTTTGCCTCTGGCGGAAGCGGAGGTTATTCCACGTGGTGGGTGCTGGATTGGATTCATGGGACGACGGTTAGCGCGCGGGGTGGGAAGAAGGGTAGGAAGCAAGTGTCGGAGGGAGTGACGGAGAAGACGTGAGGTGGCGTTTGGAGTTTTTGGATGCTGTCTTTGGATACCAATGCGTTAGTCTAGAGTCTTTTATTGTGCTGTTTATGGATGAAATATCTTTTGCTTTATCGGTACCGGGTGAACTTGTGCCATGAATTTTGTACGCGACATACTCCATAGATAATTTGATGCTATATTTCCCTCGCGGAAAGGTTAACCTAAGTAGTAAAGGTCGAGCTTGCGCATACCTGAAGGATAGCCTCGATATTTACCCGAAATATAGTCCCCTGGACAAAAGCAATAGTTGGGGGGGGGGGTCATAGCTACCATCGAGGACACACCGGAATGGGATCTCGGCAACACCGATTTGCAACCAATGCTGTCCCCCGCACTCTCCGTAAGGATAGCTTCGATACTAGCCCCGGGGATGGTATCATACTTCTACAGCGGTATTCACAAACAAACGGTCCGAGAATAGAAATTTCATGTATGATAACGACGGTTTCATCCAAACAACTTGCCCTCTTCTGCCCGGCATCCCGAACCGTCCGTGGACCCTATGGGGATGCAGGAAGACCTCCGGGGGGGTATGCACGGAACGAGCTGATATAATGTTGCCGCGCTCTCATTTTGTACAGTCTGTCAGGTAGCTTACGTACATGGGGCACCAAAGCCACGGCGAACCCATGCATTCCGCCACACATCCGCCCGCGCCAACTTAGCAGGGAATGCCTTAACAATGGCCAAAGAGTAAAGAGAAAAAAAAAGAGAAAAAAGTCAAATGGAGGGTGAAGCGCCAGGAGTATACGCCAACCCACATCTTGTGTCCTCCCTCATGCAGCGAGCGACATTCCCCTTTGTGCTCCGGGGGTGACTGAAGAGGCAGAAACGGCTGGACGGTGAAAGGATGTGGCGTAAAATGACAAGTAATGGTAATATTATCGTGGGGATCGGCGCACCCACTCTCATCCCCGGGATTAAAATTTACCGTATTGGGGGGGCACGGGACTCGCCGCTTCACACATATACAACGGGTATATCCTCAATTCGGCAGACCCTTAGAAGTTGACATATTATGGACTGATGGTGCGTTTGTTTTTTCTTCCTGCGATAACCCGATGGCAAAGTTTGAAAAGATTTTGTCGCGGCGGTCTCGAGAATGTGTACGGTATGATACCGTATCCCGCTCAGGGCCTGATCTGGCAGAGAGTAGGTTTGGTGGTTTGTATTGTCCGGGTTTTACCCCACAAAAACTTTCTATGATATCATACCCGGGAGGTGGCTTAACGGGTGGAACCTTTCACCTAAAGGTATCATACATGAGTACTTTCCTAGCTAGACATCGACAAACACACCCCTTCAGCAAGCAGTTTGTCGGCGTTTAGTTTTCCTTCTTCCCCCCTGTTGGCTATGGTTTCTCCTGTCCTCCCGCGACCTTCTCGATCCTACTACGCCGTTATCTTTGCCGGTCCCACAGTCCAACATGAGGGGTAACAAGTCGAAATCCATAGGCGCGGCCAGGTTCAAGCACCATCCTCAAGCGGGAGCCAGCCGAGACACTTCGACACCGCTACGGTACGCCTGTGAGCGCAGAAGAGGGGAGGAGTTTCCACCTGCCAGGTTGTTCCCAATACTGGTAATTCTACAGGGGTTGCTAAAAGTTACCATAAGGCTTCCGCAAACCACCAAGACCCACACTCCCCTGCACCGGGATTCGCAACACCCGCGGCGGCCTGTATTGGATTGAGGAATGGCACTGCACCTTACTCAACCGCAGTGAGCGAGCGCCTATCCCATCTGTTTACCGGCCTTTTAACTGTGGGTTTGTGCCGAGTAGCCCTCAGTCGACCAGAGAGTTGGGAGGCCTCTTGGATAAATACAAGTGCTCGTCAGAGGAAGTTTTGGCCAAGCGAGGTGAGGTGGAATGAATAGGGATTACCATGCCTGGAGACTGACCCTTGTCTTGCGGGTCAAAAATTGCCTCGTTCGTCACACTGACGGGCGCTCGCCAATTTTCCCTTCTTCCTGCCTGTGGACACGTAATGATAAGGTGATGGTGGACTTGGGATGGGATACTTAAGCTCGGATTCGCTCCGGCTTTCCAGCAAGAAGGGTGTCCGGAGAAGCAAGCGCCAACATGTTCACCAATCCAAGCATGCGATACGCAATGCTAGGGCTGATCTTTGGTTTGTTTGGGAAATCCTAGAGTCTGAGCAGGGTCGGTTTGCTGCTTGTGTGTGCTAACATATTTTCCAGCCCTTTTTGCCCCGCTCCTCACTCGGGTCATTCTCATCTTGATTGCAGTTGGGGTTGTTGGCATGCCTCGCTTGAAGGACCGTATTCTGCAGAACGGAGAGTCCACGCTCTGTGAAAAAGAATATCTACAAGGTGAGATAGCTAGTGTTAGGGCCGAGATGGTACTTGTGAGAGCCGAGATGGTTCGTGTTAGGGCCGAGATTGCCCAAATGGTGGGGAGGGAGCAGAACGGAGCGACGAGATGCTCGGCAAGTGGCTCGGATAGCCGAAAGGACCCCCGCCCTCTCCCGCAGCGGTTCGACTGGCCGGGCCTTGAACTAGAATGAGCCGACCGACCCAAAGCAACCCAACAAGCAGCAGCCCGGGTTAAGGCAATAGGCCTATCATGTCGCCGTGCGGGATGAACCGAGGCAGAAATTCTGGTATTAGAGAGAGTGGAGGGAGGATAGCTGGTTTTATAGATCCAAAATCAGGATGAGAGCGAGGAGGGCTAATGTGACTCAATTAAAAACTCAGCAATGAATGAATCAATCTAATCTCGTTCTCAACCACGGGCTAACTCGGGCCGAAAATAGGCACCCCCCCCTCCAGCCGGCCCAAGCCTAGTGAACACGTGACCCAACCAAACAGCCCAAGGCAACTCAACTCAAACCCCGGGTTAAGCCATCTAAGCCTGGACACCTTGGGATATCACGGACTGGGGTAGCTCCTATGAGGCATTATCATGACTTTTTGATCTCCCGGGCAGAATTCCTACTCGAACTATATCTGAACTGCTCGTGAAATACCTGTATTGAATCTGCTGGGGGACAGATGGGTGGGGTAGCGACATCTTCGACCGGGAAGGTGAATGGAGGGCAGGGTGTGGACTGGGGGTTTCACTAAGACTGCCGGTCCCTCTATATGGCCTTGGCAACACCGGTGAGTATAGAATGTAGTGGGAGGTAGTTCAAGACGGCAGGGGGAATAGGGGATCTAGGCGGGTAAACCTGAATTGTTTCTTGATCAACGAATGAATTCGTATGTTGGGATTGGGAGGAGTGCGGGATGGGAGGGCGAGGTTATCTGGAAAGGAGTAGGACGTATGAGCTCCCATGAGCCCATTGGTTATTTACGTGGACTTCAGCTAGTGTCTCATTCAGTGCTTGAATATGGCTTTGCCTTCTCTTTCCTGATTTCTGGAAAACAACCTTCTCCGAACCACTCTCGGTAATCCGGGTATCCTACATTTTTCAGGGCAGGGTGGGGTTGGCAGTACATTTGATAGCATGTAGGGTTCCTTGCACTTGCTGGTTCATCAGTCTTGTTCCAGGCATGATACTAAAAGGAAAACACCCCTCATGTGGAATCTGGAGATTAACATTCGCACTAACTTCGCTGTGCCGGTTTCGAGAGTGATTGTAGAGATGGTGATAAACGCGAAATGATACATAAACAAGCCAGAAATCGTACCCTTCGGAACCCCACAGCGCAATTCAGTCAGTTCTACCGCTACGGCCCTCTGCTCTCTCCCCGTCCTCCACCTCCCGCTCTACCCTCTATGCCCTCAACCCTCGGCCTCCCCAGGATCCAGTTTCTATGTCACCATCAGCCACCGCGGCGGCAGCAAGCTGCTTCTTGCAGCCCCCGCGAGGGGGACCGGGCATGAGACAGTTCTGCATTGGCGGTACCTAGTTCTACTCCCTGGCTGGTCAACTCGGCCTTGGCAGTAATCACTTCTACTCTCGAGTTGGCTAGCTCGGCCTTGACAGTAGCCAGTTCTGCGCTCGAGGTTGCCAGTTCTTCCGCAGGGTGGGCACCGGCACACCTCTCGATCCAGTCATTTGCAATGACGAAGATTGCCACTAGTATAGTGGCTAGCACCGACGAATGCTTCTCAATTAAGCCTAAAAAATATATCAGGGACGGATTAGCAAACAGGGTACTTTGAGACTTCTGGAACCGCTTGAACACACAGACATGCTGTTGGATTGCTTATCGGGAATGGGGCGTGGGGATTGGTTTCTTTCACCCCTCTGCTCCCGGGCATACGGGTAGATGTTGGAGGCCCTTGGAGGTTCTGGATAGTTGTGAAGCAAGGAGGGCCATGTTTTGTCAGGATGGTATGGTCCTCTTGTGTTCGTGGTGCTTCATTCGGGTTCCAGAGGGGCCGTTTGTTATGAGACAGTGTTCCCAGCCGCCCGGCCGGCCCCGTCCTGGAGGACGGGACGAGCTATAGACTGTAATCCGTCTTTCCGGGAGTTTTAGGACGGACTACTGAGGGCTACCATCCTACAGCCTGAAATCCTATGAACAGAGGGAGCCTGTCAGCCTCGATGTTTCATGCATATCTGAGGTTTTGTGTGGTATAAAGTATTGTCTGCCACAGTCCCTTGCGGTCCCCGGCAGTCACCCGCTGTCCCCTGGACCGCCATTGTTTTATCCTGTAGGGCCTGCCGTCTTACCTAAAGATGCCCGTCCTGCATTTTCACCGCTCCGGACGGCTAGGAACACTGTTTGGATATATATATCTCCTATTCTATCCGTCGGTGACCACCGCTACCGACCATTGGTCGTCCATTCTCTAACCACCCTTCCTCGCCCTACTTCGTATTGAGCCTATCGTTATCGCACTTGTGTTGCTAGATTATTTCGTGCTTTCCATTAGCCTTCATTCCACGCGGGGTCGTAATCATGGTGGATAAGGTATTTCGTTGCTTGTTTTTTCCCACCTTTTTTTTTTTTCTATAGAGGGATAATTGTTCGGGTAAGCTGGTTTCGGGTGATTGTAAAATATTTTCTTCTTCAGAGGGGGGACGAGGTGAAAGGAGTAAGGAGTGATGGCGAGAGAGAAGAGAGGGTGCGAGTTGCGCGGTCCCGTTGTTTTGTCCTACGGGCCACAAGAGAGGTCACACCATCCATACCATCCATGTTTGGTTCTTCCCCTCAGCAGTTTAACGAGTTTCCCCACCAGTACGATACTTGTATCT